TCACCCTGCCCCACGGATCCCCCCAAAGCCCTTGCAGAGAGGGCTGCGGCAACCACCGCTCCAGCTCTCCAGTTGTGCTCATACAGCGAGGAACGGGCCAGCAGCGCCGCCTGACTGGGAGGGGGACCGGCACTACGTTTGTGTATCGCCCAGGATGCCAAGGCCAGCGTGAACACGGAGGGGTGGGATCCAAGCACGGCTCTGGCAGCCAGGAACTCCTGCCCAAGTCGTTCCCCTTCTGGCTTCCCACAACTGCCTTATGCCAAATTTTTTTTATTTTATTTTTAAACAAATCACTTTTGATTTTGGACACCTCCATACCTGGGAGGACACTTGTCTCCATCTGGGGCAGCTGAGCTGAGGCACCTGGAAGGACAGATCGGCACCTGCCTCTCGGCACGGGGGTAACACTGGGCAGTGTTACCTGTTTCAGGAAGACAACATCTTCCTCCATCCCCCACCGCTGGGAGCTGGAGGAGTCACCTCCTAGCATGTTTTTGCAAGATCTCCTGGCTTTTTTTATGAAAGGAAAAAGTCCAAAGCAGCTTTTAAACACTGAGCTACACTTTGGCCTCTGCAACCAGCCTGCCTCAAGGACTGAATACTCCGTTCCCAGGGGAAAACTGAGCGTTCAGCAACAGCTGGGGAGCATCCCTGCTCATGCCACCACTTCACAGCGGGATCCCTCTGGTCCCTCACCATTCATCTGCAGTCTGGAGGAATCCCTACTTTCTGTGAAGTCCTGAAAGCATTCCTGAGCCCTGACGCAGTTCAGAGGCACACCTAAGGAAGACAGATGCGATTTTAGGAGAAAAGCCACATAGCTGTGGCTTCCACTGCTGTGATGAGATCTTGTGCTCGGGCCTGTACCATGTTATAGCCAGGCACTAAAGGGTGTGACAGGGCAGGAAAACCACGTGAAGGGACTAGAAGCTTCTCTTGCTGGTGGCAAGGACAAACTCTCACAGTGAGAATCGACCGCTGCAGAGCCCCAGAGCAAGAGCTCCCTGCTTGTCCCTTCAGCCATAAGCAAACTGAGCCCAACTGCTCCCAGGTCCCTGCAGCGGCTCCGCTCTGAGCAACCTGGACTGCCAGTTTCACAGACGCTCCTCAGATCCCCGAGAGACTTGTGTCCACCTCAGTGCTGTCCCCAAAACGCGAGGGGGAGGCCAAGGCAGGGGGTCACGCCAACCCTCAGTGCTGAGCATGCCAGACAAAGCAACAGCCACGGCCCCCGTTGTTCAGACTAGAGCAGGATCTTGGAGGATAGCTCACCCAGAAACACGTACCCACTGTGGGACATTCACTGGCAAGCAGCAAAAAGGAGGTAGAAGGACTCAGGTAGACCCTGCACAGCTCAGAGCCCTCCGTCTACCCGCTCCCAGCCAGCCCTGCAGGGAGTCACCGGCAGCAGGAGGTGCCACGTCCCCAGGAGGTGTCCAGATCCACCTGGGTAGCGAAAGGAGCAGCTGGTGCGGCAAAATTCCTAAATACCTCTCCTTCCACAATACCTGGGTCTGGAGAAAGGATCAGAGCTCTTCACGACACCGGGAGAGACAGACCCTCCGCTGCTGAATGTGGGAACCACTTGGCTGGATTTTAAACAGAGCATTTTCCCAAGCTCTGCAATTAAGCGGCGATGCCATCGGGGAGTTCAGGAACAGGATGGTTTAGGCTGGCACCAGCCAGTCTGTCATGCTGGGAAGAGCTAACATTAACTCCCCACAGACAGAGGCGGCACAGCGAGGTGGGTAAACTCACCCCACCCTCTGCACGAGTGCCTGAGCTGGGGCTGCCAGCGGCACCTCCCCACAGCCTCCCACCTCCTGCTCCTTTTGCACGCAAACAGCCTGCCGAGACGACCACATTTACTGCAGGTTTAGCTCAGAGCTTGGTTTGAAAAGGCGCTGCTTAAAGTACCGCGGAGCCACAAGGCCCACGGCTCTCACAGGCTCCCAGCCTGCTCTGGGGACCGGCTCTCGTCCCTCTTCCTAGGGCACAAGACCTCTCCCAAAGCACTCGCAGCCAAGGCCAACGCTCCGCCTGGCAGAGAGACTCCATCACCACGTCCAACGCACATTCCTGGAGACATCCAGACTGCGCTGCTGGCACAGCGGTGCCTGGCACTGCCAGGCCTCACCCAGCTGCCTGATGCCAACCGAAGAGTTAACAGCTTGCTGAAAGCCTCCTGGGGCATGCCGAGTCCTTGGGAGAGGAGCAACCCACCCACCCCCTAAACAAGAGTTTGCTTGAACTGTTTCCTGATAAACTAGGTTCAAAATAGAAAGGGACTGTGGAAGGTGCTTGGGTTTTATTCAGCCCTTTCTCTCTCCCCTGCCTAAAATTTTAGGAGAGTCTCTGAAACAACCAGAGAATTCACCCAGGATAAAATACTGACTCTCCTCCCCAGATGCTCGCCCCAGCAGAGCGAACACCTCACAGGCCCGCACTCTCCATCTGCTCTCCTGAGGCACGTAGCGCAGCGGGAGGGCAGCACCCTGCGCACAAGCGGGACGAGATCTGGTGAGCGCGCAGCGGCATCTCGTGAAACGTTACTCGCTAAGCGTTCCTGGACTGGGAGGGGACACCCACGCCTGCGTGGGTCACCACCACTTCCAACAGACAGGACTGAACGGTAACGCTCTCCTTGACAAACCCGAAGAGCAATAGGTATGGGGAGGAGATAGGAAACACCTTGGCAATCAGACCTTCAGGCTGTGATGGGCTTTGATAGATCAAGCACGGTGTAAAGGGGCTGAGGAAAAGGAAACTGCGAAGGAAGCAAGGGCTGTGCAATGCTTCAACACCGCATGGCTGGTCAACAGCCTTGGTGCCGATGGTCAGAGGCGCGTGCCAGCTCCTCCTGCTGCAGGAGGTGGGTGCCAGGGCAATCCCTGCACAGGTAGTTACAGCGAAGACAGAAGAAGATCCTTCTCACCTAGACGGAGCTCCCCGAAATTGCCGCATCCAATCTTCTTGCCAACCCGGAAGTTGGGACCCACCATTAAGACTCCCGAGTTGGTTCCAGCACTCCGGCTTCCATGACTGCTCCTTCCTCCACCTGTCTTGGACATCCTTTTACCTTCCTCCAGCTCCCCTTTCCCTCCTCTCTTATCAAAATCCATAAGTTTGTGATACCCCGGCCTCTCCACGGTTACGCTGCTGCCATACAAATCCCAGAGCTGCCGAAAGTTGAGGGGTGAGGAGAAAAGAAGCAGGGTTCTTCTTGGTTAATACACCATCACGGTGAGCGATGGGAGGGCGGGGCGTGGAGAAGGAGGGATAAGCGGCCACCCACGGGTGCTGGACTACTGAAATGTTAGTGCTTTCCAAGGTCCCGCCGGGATTGTCATCATCGCCTGTTACAGGGAGTTCTTTGGTGGAGAGAACATCCTGCGGAGAGGGTCCTCCCAGCGTGGCTCCTCGGTCTCCCAGCTGCAGAAAGGAGAGGGAGAAAATTAGCGCCAGGAAACAAGGAGGCAGAGGACAACAGGGGTTGCGGGCTCCAGGCTCCTGCCCCCAGCTTCGCAGAGCCCCTCCAACACCATCCCTGCGTTACAGGGAACTCCCAGAACGATGAAGGGTGCCGCAACTGAGGGGTGGGAGAAGCTGGGGTTATCAGGACCGTCGCAGGGCGACCCACATCTAAGATGCTGGCATAAATGAATAAACAAAAGTCTGGCCACGGCAGGAGGTGAAACGCTTGATGAGCATCTCCAGGAGCCAGCAGCGAGTCACGTGGGGAGAACAACGTCCCCGCGGGGAAGGGCTGCTGGCAGCAGGGAGACCTTCGGAGGCACCAGCCGAGGTGCTCGGGGCCAGGCTGCCACTGGTCAGGCCCGAGAGTCTCCAAGAGCAGAGGACACACGTAAACCACTGCGTGACAGGGCAAACTACGCCAGGCGTGCAACTTCCTATGAAGTGAAAAGAGGATATTCTCCCCAGGCGGGTGCTTGCCAGGAGGGTCCCTGCGGGTCCAGAGGCTGTGGCCAGCTGAGTCAGAGCACTTCGCCCCAGCACCAGCCTCCGTTGCGGCTGGGCCGGGACCTCTGAGCCAGCCATCCCGCGCCAGGACGCGTGGGAGAGGACACGGTTTCTAAGCAGTTGTGCATGTGTGGGGCATGGCCCAGGCCTGCCAGACTGGGGTAAAACAGACCCCGGCAAACAGGAACCCAGGACTTACTAACACCCCGCTCGCCTCCACGGCGAGCTCCTGATTGCCGCCTCTTCCTCCTCCGCTCTCAAAAACAAACCTCGATTTTAATTGCAAAGCTTGGAGCGAGGCACGGTGGCCAGCAGGGCTGCTGGCTGCAGCCTGGGCAAAAGCCGCTGTGACGCTCGCTGGGAGTAACTGATGGCCACGGATGCTTGTTTGCTCAGTGGTACGCAGCACCTTGCTGATCTCGTGTGCGCAGCTCCCGGCACTTCCCAGTGAGGCTGGCGGGAAGCCCCATGCTGGCGGTGGGCTAAGTCGGGGTTCCCCTCAGCCCCCGCAAACAGGCAGGACTCAGCTCAGCGCCTTCAACCAGGGAGCTCCTTCCCATGTGCACGCCCCTGCGCATTGCATTGGGTGGGACTCGATGACCTTTAAAGGTCCCTTCCAACCCAAACTATTCTATGATTTTACGATACTGGCTCCGCACAAGCCCTCCCCATGCAGCTGACCGTGTTCACACAGGTACAGCCCAACATCGAGGCCAAATCAGCCACTCGCTCCCTTCCGGAGGAGCGGGATGACAAGTACCATCGACCAGCTCCATGCTCACGGAACGAGGTTCCCAAGAGGGAGCCGTGCTCTCCCTCCATCCAGGACTCCCACCGGAGCTGCCTGGGGGGAGGTCAGGCTCGGTCCCTCCTCGCAGGAAAGCCGGCGCAGGAGGCAGCCAGAGTGCGCCAGGAGCAGGACAGCCAGGAAGCTAAACACGGGCTGGAAAGCGCAGAGGGTCAAGCAGGAGCCGGGTGCACACTGTGAGGCCACGTGAGAGACAGACAGACCGACACATGCACGCACACCCCGCTTTAGCCCCCAGCATTCGTCAGCTCTGGTTTTGCTCCCAGCTCAGCCCTTGCTGCGTTTCGAGTGAGCCGAGCAGGGAGGCAGCCCCCACCCCTCCCTGTCCGCTCCCCCTCTCACCACCTTCCTCCGCTCCTCTCCGGGCTCCCGTGACGCCCACCAAGAGCCCTTGCTGCCACGGCCTCATTACCTGCGGGTTAAACAAGCAAACCCACGCCCCTCCAGTGCTCAGACTCCAGGAAATGAGCACACTGCAAGTCCTGACGCTTGGCCAAACCCCATAAAACTTTTTATTGGCTCTCAATAGCTATTAATAACAAAAAAAGGCTTCTTGTCCTAAAGGGTGCGTGGGGGGAAACGGCGGAGGGCCTAAGAGCAACAGAGGGAAAAAGACACCCAAAGCTGGAGCTCAGCACGGGGGAAGGACTGGCTGAGTAAGGGTCCGTGGGCAGGGGAGCTGCTCCCTGGGGCTGCCCTGCTCCCAGTCCTCTCCTGACACCAAATCCTCGCCAGGGCCCACCACGCCCTGTCCGCAGCATCCTGGCAAAATGCCGCTGCTCTCCAGGAGGGACCGGAACTGCCGGCACCGAAGGTGCAGGGTGCTGGCCCGGCCCCTTGGGGCTGTTGTGGGTGCACAACACCCATCTGCAGGACCTGCCTGTTCAAGCACAGGGGAACAAGGCTTTCACTTGGGGTGGGAGCCCCCTCCTTCCCCCACAGGCTCCATCCTCCAGGCCAACACCCCCAGAGCATCCCCAGAGCACAGCAGCCCCAGCACCGAGCAGCCTGGCCCTCCAAGGCCACCACTGGCAGGCCAACACCTGGGGACCATCTTGCTGCACCCAGCACACCTCGGCCGAGGGAAACTGAGGCACGCAGAGCCTTCCAGCTTCCCTAAAGGCCACGCAGGCAGCTACAGGTTGGCTCCTGCCCTGACGCTCCCTTCCCCCGGCAGCCAGCGGTCTCCGTCCCGTGCCAGCAGGAAGCGCGGTGGGAGCGGCAGTGGAGCAGGGCTTCCCCGCGCTTTGTTCTCCCCCAGCCCCGAGCGCACACGGCCGACACGTGATATCCTGCTCATTCTTTGCTCCCCCGATAATTTCCGCCCCGGGTTCGGCGCATGGCAGTGCCCTCCCGCCCGTCTCGCGCGTCTCCACCTCTGCTGGCCTCGCACAAGGGCGCCGCGGAGCCATTTCCCCCGTGACCTCCCAGCTCCTGGAGCAGCACGGCCCTACCCAGGCATTTCGGGAGCCACCTTTCCCAGACGTGGCTCCTGCCACACACCAGGGAAGGGGAGGCAGCCGGCGATGCACAGGCCATGCTGTTTCATACCCCGTTTTCATTTTGAATCAGACCTTTATGTTCAGTCCCGAGGGATTTCAGGCCCAGACTGTTTGCACAGTCAGGCAGCCAACAGCCAGAGCCAAGGGAGCTCCAGCCCCGTGCTTGCAATTATTTTTTTTAAAGAGTTATGGGCCAGTCTCTGCAAGGGAATTTCAGACAATGGAGCGAGACAGAGCCCTAACAGAAGGGGAAAAAATAAATACTGCTTCCTGCAAGCACTGGGAGACTGTGCTGTCTTCCCCCAGCCCAGACAATCGCAGGCAGCAGCCTAACGCAACTCTCCAGCCCTGCCTGCGCAGCAAGCCTTGGCCTGGGGAGCAGCCCTCCCAAAAGAGCCCAGCTCCAAACCCCGATTTCGGGCAGCTGGGCCAGGGCAACGACCGGCAAGGCCACGGCACTGACCCCCGTGCCGGGACTGCGTGCCAGCCGGCTGCAATTCCCCCTTTCCCAAAGCCGGGTGGTCAGAGCAGCAGGAAGTCACTGAACCACATCCGTGTGAGTCAGGCCAGGGCAAGCGATGCTCCTCCAAACTCTGCCCACCAGCCTGCCCCGTGGATGAGCCGCAGGGAGCTGAGGGCTGGGAGGAATCTATTTTTGCATCCGAAGAGCGCCAAGGAGACGCAACGTCTGTTAGTACCTCCGTACGGGACCCACCTCTCTGTGCGGTGTCAGTGACTGGTCAGGTTTTCCACTCTGTGCCACAAAGAGATCCCTGGCCTTTAAAATTGAGAACAACCTAATTAGAAACAGAAACCTTTGGTAAAATCCCAGGACTCCCACTGCTCTGGAGCGAACAGCCCTGCAAAACTTGTGTTTGTTAAAACAGCAGCCTCTGGATGGGCAACAGAGACCCAGATCTGCCCCATCTGGCCACCCCAGGGTACCAGCACCATGGGGAAGATGCCCCTGATAAAACTGAGGGCACATTGCTGCATTTTGAACAGGAATCCTCACCCAGAAGGGCCACACTGAGGCAAGCAGCCTCAGAAAAGCACCTTCTAGGCTGGATTTGTTGGCCTGGTATCAAATCTGATGCAAGATGAGACTAAGAAAACTTCTTTCTCTCTTTGGGGGGAAAGGGAGGGAGGGGGATGAATAAGAAAAAAAAATAAATTGGCCTGAAGTTTGGTAGAAGAAATTCCAAAGCAAGCTGTGGTCTTAAAACAAATAAGCACTGCCCTGCAGCGTTTGCAATGCAAGTGCTCCGAGCCAGGGGAACCTGAAAGCGAAATAAACTGCAGACAAGTGCAAGCGACTTCAGCACCTCCCCAGAACAGAACCACAAAAACACTAACAGTACCATAAAGGGGGCAAAACTACACTCAAGCCATCATCTGAAACCCGAAGAAGGGGTTCATGTTGGTTTTGTTGAAATACTGGGTTCTTTTTATTTGCCATCTGGTTTGGAGCATGCCAGCTCTGCTCCAGTCACATTTACAAGCTTTTCCCTGCAGTCATGAGGGTGAGAAAAAAGGGATTGGGGGTGGGGGGTTATTTGTTTTGTTTTTTTAAAAAAAAGAAGAAAAAACTGTGATTCTAGTGCTAGCCCTTGTCTCCGAGACCTGTGACTTGGACTGAAATATCAAGGCTCGGGAAGTTCCTGGACACATTTGCAAGTATAAAATGATGAAAAAGTTGTATTTTTAAAAATTTCTTTCCTGTATAGTGAAACCTCGTGGCTGCTGGGAAAGGACTTGTACCGTACCATCTGGGGCACATTGTTCCAGGCCCTTTATACACACAGTGTTCCTGCCCAAAAGAGGTTACAATTAAACGGGGCAAGACAAAAGAGGGGAAGAAGAGGAAAAAATAGCGGCCCGGAGCAGGGAAGTGATTGGTGAAGGTCAGGGAGCAGGTCCGTGGCGCTTCTCGGAACAGAGTCCAGGTGTCCTGGACCAGCTGGCACCCCCGGGCGGCTGCGATGCTGCTACCGGCCACGGAGGCCTGACTGTACCGAGCCCTGATCTCTGCAAGCCGTTGGGATGGTTACTTGAAGCCGGTTTCCCCGTGTACTCTGCGCTTTGCGAGGAAAAAGAGAAACACAGCTGCATCCAGATGA